ATCCTGATTCCTGATCCTGATCCCTGATCCTGATTCCCGATTCCCGCCCCCGATTCCCGATTCCTGATCCTGATCCCTGATCCTGATCCCTGATCCTGATTCCCGATTCCCGCCCCTGATTCCTGATCCCGATTCCTGATCCCGATTCCTGATCCCAATTCCCACCCCCGATTCCTGATCCCAATTCCCAATCTCCGATCCCTGATCCCAATTCCAATTCCCGATCCCCGATCCCCGATTCCCTCCCCCGATCCCTATTCCCGCTTCCCGCGGGGTCACAAACACCAATCCACGTCTTCTCCGACAGAATTTATGGATCCGGAACACAAAACACTCCGGGGGGGGGAGGGGCGGCTCCCGGCAATTCCCGCTTTTCCCTCCCCCCGCCGCCTCGCTCCCATCCCTCCCCACCATCCCTGAGCTCGCGTCTCCCGGAATTCCCAGAAAACCCCGGGGACAATCCCCCTTCCCCAGGGGCCGCGGGGGATCCTCGTCCCGGCGGGGATTCCCGAGGATTCCTCAGGAATTCTCCAGCACCTGGTGGGGGAGGGGCACGGATCCCGGTTTTTCCCGGCCCTTCAGGAAGAAGGTGAGGAGCTCCCCTTTGCCCTTGACGTAGACGGCGCCGCGCCGGACGAAGCGGAACCCGAATTCCTTCAGGATCTGCTGCGTCTCCTCCACCACCTGCCGGGAATTCCGACGGGGAGAAAAAAACCGGGAATTTGGGAATTTGGGAATTTCGTCCCTCCCCGGGGTGGGGGGAAGAGAAGGGTGAAAGGAAAAAGGGATGGGGAAGGACGGGATGGATTCTGGGTGTGGGAGAGTTGGTGGGAATTCCTGGCTGGGATGGAATTCCCGGGGAATTCTTGGGGTTGTCCAAGGAAAAGCTGGAGCAGGGTGGGAATGGGGCTGGGAATGGGATGGGGTTGGGAATCCGTGGATCCCATCCCAAGGAATTCCAGGATTCCGTAATTCTATGAGTCCGGGGAGTCCTGGATATTCATTCCCCATCCCCCAGGAATTTCCCGGTGATTCCCAGACACAATTCCCGGACACAATTCCCGCTGATTCCCACCTGGACGTTCCCCATCCCCCAGGAAATTCCCGGTGATTCCTGGACACAATTCCCGGTGAGATTCCCGCCCCATTCCCACCTGGATGTTCCCCATGACTCCGGTGCATTCCCAGCGATCCCTGGACATTCATTCCCCATCCCCCCCAGACATTCCCAGTGATTCCCGGCATTCCCAGACACAATTCCCAGACACAATTCCCAGACACAATTCCCAGACACAATTCCCACTGATTCCCACCTGGACGTTCCCCATCCCCCAGGAAATTCCCAGTGATTCCCAGACACAATTCCTGGATGCGATTCCAACCCCATTCCCACCTGGATGTTCCCCATGACCCTGGCGCATTCCCGGTGATCCCTGGACATTCATTCCCCACCCCCCCTGGACATTCCCGGACATTCCAGGCCATTCCTGCCCCATTCCCGGTGATTCCCACCTGGATGTTGCCCATGACCCCGGTGGATTCCCGGCGATCCCTGGACATTCATTCCCCATCCCCCCCAGACATTCCTGGACATTCCTGGTCATTCCTGCCCCATTCCCGCCCCATTCCCACCTGGATGTTCCCCATGACTCCGGTGCATTCCCGCTGATCCCTGGACATTCCCGGTGATTCCCGGCAATTCCCGGTGATCCCCACCTGGCTATTCCTTCCCCATCCCCCTGGACATTCCCAGTGATTCCCAGTGATTCCCACCTGGACGTTCCCCCTCCCCCAGGACATTCCTGGTAATTCCTGGCTATTCCCGGCCACAATTCCCGGTGCGATTCCCGCCCCATTCCCACCTGGATGTTCTCCATGACCCCGGTGCATTCCCGGTGATCCCTGGCTATTCATTCCCCATCCCCCCCAGACATTCCCAGTGATCCCCAGCTATTCCTGGCCACAATTCCCGGCCACAATTCCCAGCCACGATTCCCAGACAGAATTCCCACCCCATTCCCACCTGGATGTTCCCCATGACCCCGGTGCATTCCTGGCGATCCCTGGACATTCATTCCCCATCCCCCTGGACATTCCCAGTGATTCCTGGCTATTCCCAGACACAATTCCCAGACACAATTCCCAGACACAATTCCTGCTGATTCCCACCTGGACGTTCCCCATCCCCCAGGAAATTCACGGTGATTCCCAGACACAATTCCTGGACACAATTCCTGGATGCGATTCCCGCCCCATTCCCACCTGGATGTTCCCCATGACTCCGGTGCATTCCCGGTGATTCCCAGCTTTTCATTCCCCATCCCCCCATCCTCCCGAACATTCCCGGTGATTCCCAGACACAATTCCCGCTGATTCCCACCTGGATGTTCCCCATCTCCCAGGAAATTCCCGGTGATTCCCGGACACAATTCCCGCTGATTCCCACCTGGACGTTCCCCATCCCCCAGGAAATTCCCGGTGATTCCTGGACACAATTCCCGGTGCGATTCCCGCCCCATTCCCACCTGGATGTTCCCCATGACTCCGGTGCATTCCCGGTGATCCCTGGACATTCATTCCCCATCCCCCCAGACATTCCCGGTATTTCCCGGCATTCCCAGACATTCCCGGCCACAATTCCCGGTGCGATTCCCGCCCCATTCCCACCTGGATGTTGCCCATGACCCTGGTGGATTCCCGATGATCCCTGGACATTCCCCATCCCCCCGGACATTCCCGGATATTCCCGGCCATTCCTGCCCCATTCCCGCCCCATTCCCACCTGGATGTTGCCCATGACCCCGGTGGATTCCCCATCCCCCCCGGATGTTCCCGGTGATTCCCGGCCACAATTCCCGGTGCGATTCCCGCCCCATTCCCACCTGGATGTTCCCCATGACCCCGGTGGATTCCATCCTGCTGGCCACGTTGACGGTGTTGCCCCAGATGTCGTAGTGCGGCTTCCGGGCGCCGATGACTCCGGCCAGCACCGCCCCCTTGTTCATCCCTGCCCGGAGAATTCCCGGGATTACCCCCGGAATTCCCGGGATTCCCGGGATTCCCGGGATTATTCCCGGACTTGCCTATGCGCAGCATGAAGTTGTTGAAGGACTGGTAGTTGATGTTCATCAGCGTCACCTTCATGGCCAGCGCGAAGTCGGCCAGGTCGGCCAGGTGCTGCCAGCGCTCCTTGTCCGAGCGAGGATCCGGCTGAGGACAAAATCCCGGGAATTGCGGCCGGAACGGATCCAACGGGACACGGCGGGGGAGGGGGGGACGGGGAGGGAGGTGATGGAGATGGAGATGGAGATGGGAAATTATGGAGATGGAGATGGTGGAGATGATGGAGATGGAGATGGGACATGGGACATGGGACATGGGACATGGAGATGGAGATGATGGGGATGGAGATGGAGATGATGGAGATGGAGATGAGACACAGAGATGGGAGATGGAGATGATGGAGATGATGGAGATGATGGAGATGGAGATGATGGAGATGGGACATGGGACATGGGACATGGAGATGATGAAGATGGAGATGGAGATGGGAGATGGAGATGGGAGATGGAGATGGGAGATGGAGATGATGGAGATGATGGAGATGGGAGATGGGAGATGGAGATGATGGAGATGGAGATGATGGAGATGATGGAGATGGGAGATGGAGATGATGGAGATGGAGATGATGGAGATGGAGATGGGAGATGGAGATGGAGATGGGACATGGGACATGGGACATGGGACATGGAGATGGAGATGATGGAGATGATGGAGATGATGGAGATGATGGAGATGGAGATGATGGAGATGGAGATGGGAGATGGAGATGATGGAGATGGAGATGATGGAGATGATGGAGATGGGAGATGGAGATGATGGAGATGGAGATGATGGGGATGATGGAGATGGAGATGGGAGATGGAGATGGAGATGGGAGATGGGACACAGAGATGGGAGATGGAGATGGAGATGATGGAGATGGAGATGATGGAGATGGAGATGGGACATGGGACATGGGACATGGAGATGGAGATGATGGAGATGGAGATGGGAGATTATGGAGATGGGAGATGGGACACAGAGATGGGAGATGGAGATGATGGAGATGAGACACAGAGATGTGACACAGAGATGGGAGATGGAGATGGAGATGAGGGAGATAATGGAGATGGAGATGGGAGGTGGAGATGGAGATGGGAGATGGAGATGATGGAGATGGAGATGGGAGAGGGAGATGGAGATGGGGATGGGAGATGGGACACAGAGATGGGAGATGGAGATGGAGATGATGGAGATGATGGAGATGGAGATGGAGATGGAGATGGGAGATGGAGATGAGGGAGAGGGAGATGGAGATGGGAGATGGAGATGAGACACAGAGATGGGAGATGGAGATGAGGGAGAGGGAGATGGAGATGGGAGATGGAGATGAGACACAGAGATGTGAGATAGAGATGAGGGAGAGGGAGATGGAGATGGGAGGTGGAGATGATGGGGATGGAGATAGAGATGGAGATGGAGATGGGAGATGGAGATTATGGGAGACAATGGAGATGATGGAAATGGAGATGAAGGAGATGGGAGATGGGAGATAATGGAGATGAAGGAGATGGAGACGATGGAGATGGAGATGGGAGATCGAGATGGAGACGATGGAGATGATGGAGATGGAGATGAAGATTGAGATGGGAGATGGAGATGGAGATGATGGAGATGATGGAGACGTGCCACACAGACGTGACACACAGAGATGTGACACACAGACGTGACACACAGACGTGCCGCACAGACGTGCCACACCCCCCCAGATGTGTCCCCAGGGACGGTGCCGCGGCTCACGGGGCCATCCCCCGTTCCCGGGGGTGTCCCGGGGGCGGATCCCGGGCTGACCTTGGCTCCGAATCCGTTGGCGCCGGCGTCGGGCGTCACTCCCGAGGCGGCCATGTAGGTGCTGCCGATGGTCTTGATCTTGGTGATGCAGCGGAACTGGGGCTCGTCCAGCAGCTGCACACGGAGACAAATCCCGGGATCAACCCCGGAGCCCCGATATTCCCGAAATTCCCAGTCTGATCCCACCTGGATATTCCTGGGATTCCTGGTCTGATCCCACCTGGACATTCCCAAAATTACCAGTCTGATCCCTCCTGGATATTCCCTGAGATTCCTGCTGTGATCCCACCTGGATATTCCCAGGGATTCTCAATCTGATCCCAATGGATACTCCCCACAATTCCCAGTTTGATCCCACCTGGATAATCCCCATCCCAGGAATTCCCATCCATTCCCCATCCCGGGAATTCCCATCCCAGCAATCCCCGCCCATCCCCCATCCCAGCAGGCCATTCCCGTGGGTTCCCCATTCCGGTCGGGAATTCCGGACGGTAATTCCAATCATTATTCCGGTCCCACATTCCCATGGGTCCCACATTCCCGTCATTCCTGTGGGTCCCACATTCCCGTGGTTCCCACTTTCCCGTGGTTCCCACATTCCCATCATTCCCGTGGTTCCCGCATTCCCGTCACTATTCCCGTGGTTCCCGTCATTCCCGTCATTCCCTTGGGTCCCACATTCCCGTGGGTCCCACATTCCCATCATTATTCCCGTGGGTCCCACATTCCCATGGTTCCCACTTTCCCGTGGTTCCCACATTCCCGTGGTTCCCACATTCCCATCATTCCCGTGGTTCCCACATTCCCATCATTATTCCCGTGGCTCCCACATTCCCGTGGTTCCCACATTCCCGTCATTATTCCCGTGGTTCCCACATTTCCGTCATTATTCCCATGCTTCCCACATTCCCGTCATTCCCATGGTTCCCACATTCCCGTCATTATTCCCGTGGTTCCCACATTCCCGTGGTTCCCACATTCCTGTGGTTCCCACATTCCCATCATTCCCGTGAGTCCCACATTCCCATCATTCCCGTCGGTCCCACATTCCCGTCTTTATTCCCGTGGTTCCCACATTCCCGTCATTCCTGTGGGTCCCACATTCCCATCACTATTCCCACGGTTCCCACATTCCAGTCATTCCCATTGTTCCCACGTTCCCGTGGTTCCCACGTTCCCATGGTTCCCACATTCCTGTCATTCCCATGGGTCCCACATTCCCTTGGATCCCACATTCCCGTGGTTCCCACATTCCCATGGTTCCCACATTCCTGTCATTATTCCCGTGGGTCCCACATTTCTGTCATTATTCCCGCAGGTCCCACATTCCCATCATTATTCCCGTGGTTCCCGTCATTCCCATCATTCCCTTGGGTCCCACATTCCCATGGGTCCCACATTCCCATGGGTCCCACATTCCTGTCGGTCCCACATTCCCGTCACTATTCCCACAGGTCCCACATTCCCGTCATTCCCTTGGATCCCACGTTCCCGCGGTTCCCACATTCCCATCACTATTCCCGCGGTTCCCACATTCCCGTCACTATTCCCGCGGTTCCCACATTCCCGTGACTATTCCCGCGGTTGGTTATTCCCGTGGTTGCTCCCGGCCACTGACGGCGTCGAAGTCGGAGATGATCTCGTTGAGGAAGCGCAGGCACTCGATGCCGCCGTTGTTGATGCTCTCCTCGGTGTAGAAATCCGCAAAGTTGGGCAGGGAGGCGAACATCACCCCGATCTCCTCGTACGACTGGCTGTACAGCTCCTGGGAACCGGGAATTGTCGTCGTTATCCCGACGGGAATTATCCCGACGGGAACATCACCCCGATCTCCTCGTACGACTGGCTGTACAGCTCCTGGGAACCGGGAATCGTCGTTATTATCCCGACGGGAATTATCCCGACGGGAATTCCGGGGGTGAACATCACCCCCATCTCCTCGTACGACTGGCTGTACAGCTCCTGGGAACCGGGAATCATCGTTATCCCAACGGGAATTATCCCGACGGGAATTCCGGGGGTGAACATCACCCCCATCTCCTCGTACGACTGGCTGTACAGCTCCTGGGAACCGGGAATTGTCGTTATCCCGATGG